TTTTCGCTGCTTTCATCTGCGCCGCCTCGAGTTCTTGCACTACCTTCTTATTTCCTTCCCATACTTCTCCGGCGTACCCTAGCCGCGGTACGATTACGCTCTTCAAACCCTTTAATTTGATGCGTCTTTCGAGGGGCCGGTTTGCGAGTATTGGGTGCAGCTTCCCTGCTCGTGCTTTGCCCTTGTCCGCTACCTTGGACATGTGTGCATTCNCATTCCACGAGCAGTCTTTTGCGATCTCTACTCCAAGGTATGTGTACTGGTCCACTTCTGCAATCTCCTCGATCCCCCACTTCCATCGATGTTCCACTGGTTCTTCCTTGTTCTCGTTGCATACCATGACGGCACTCTTCTTAACGTTGGCATTCAATCTCCACTTATCAGTAGGGGGGGGGGGAGGGGCGAGAAATTCGGCACGACAGCAGACTGGCGATTGCCGTTTTCCTGCAGGTCATATTTGTGTTGTTTTTTTCATGCTGTTGTAGTATCCTGGGTTTTGGTGAGAGGGGGAGCGTGCTCCGACTCCCCCCTATTGTACGCCCTTTGCAGGTTTTATGCGTTCGCTGGTGGTGTTGAAAAAAAAGACTTGACGTTACGCCGGATGCGTCATCAAAGAGAAAATAGTACGTTGTATATGGTGACACACGGCGAGCGGTTCTCTTCGCGCTGGGCTCACCCTCCAGTTTCAAAGGAAAGCAAGGCGGGCTTCAAGGGCCTCCTGGTTGGGGCTGGAAAAAAAAAAAAAAAACGGCCTACGAAGACTTTTTGTAAAACGCTTCTGTCTTCATAATACTCCCGACACAAAAGTGGGCGGGCGGGTAGATGCAACAGCTGCGTTTGTTTTTGGCGCGGCCTCGGTGATGAGAGAGGGTGTCATGGTACATGGCCCCTTGGACGACGCCATGCTACAAGACGACAACTGGGCTTTTTTTTTTTTTGTGCAGAAATACACGGACACTTTCGCACTCCGCGTTCACAAAGTCGGTCGATGACATTGGCAAAAGCACGACACAAGCGCCCCCTCTTGTTCCGTGTTGCCTGGGAGCGAGCGATAGCGAGCGACTGGGAAAGAGAGGGATGCGGGAGTTGGACTGAGACGGAGGCGCTACTGTAGCCTGCACACAACGGTGGTCCCATCCGCTCCCAATTGCATCTCGTCACGTAATCGACGCAATTAATGTGAAAAACGCCCCGTCGAATGAAGACAAAGCAGACCGCACAAACACCCTTGCTCGGCCTCGCTCCCCGTTCCTTCTTTCTGTAGCTCACAACTCGCGAGACGTAAAAATTCGCCGGTAGAACCCTCACATTGATGTTATTCCAATACCGAGAGGTTGGTTGCTGTTACTTGACCCCGTTTAGTTTCCCCCGTTTTCTCGCAGCATTCCCCCCTCCTCTTAAACCCCACAAACGATGCGATAACCCGACTGAACATGAACAGACTACGAAGGAATTGCACTGGTCCAGCAGAAGACAACGATTGGTACAAGAACATCGAAAAATACATGACGAAACATACACATGGCGGCATTGGCTTCTATGGACACTAATCGTGCCGCGCCGGCTTGGGGGTTGCGCCAAAAAAAAAAAAATCCCCCGGCGTCCATCCCGATACTCTATGGTCCGGTCCCCTCCTGTCGTCCCCTCTCCCCTCACGCCCCGCCCNCCCCCCCCCCCGCCCCTCCACAAAAGCTTGATCAAATCCTCCAGCCCGGCGGTAATGACCCTGCAGCAACCAATTTGTCGTTTACGCCCCTATGATAGTCCCGCTCAACGGTTCGCCGCACACCCCCTTGCCGACCCATCGTCCAAACTCCAGGTCTCCGCGCCTCACCCACCCAACCACCCAACCTTTCCCCGCTAGCTCTCCCGCGGCGGCGGCACCGGGGGCGTTTCTCCCGCTCCTGGTGGTTCCACCGCTCCTGCCGCTGCCACTGCTGGTGGTTTCACCTCTGCCGAAAACTTTCCGTCGGCGTCGGTCTTGACGCCGAGAGCTGCCGCGGTCGCGTGCGACTCCGCAATCACGTCGCTGTCGATCAGCTTGAAGGTGGCCCCGTTGTTCTGGAGGAAGCGGATGATAACCTG